CGGCCTCTCTCAATAACCATAAGGTGGTTTTGGGACGTTAAACTCCACATATCAATCAACCAAAAACTTCAGCGAAACGAGCTCTTAAGCGCTGTCGTCTCGAAATTCAACCACTCTCCAGGCTATCGTTTGCTGCGATCAGAGCATTTATACGGCGAAAATACTGTTAGCTAATAAACGACATATAAAAATAGAAATTTATTTTCGTCACAACAGAGTCGCTGTGCATTTATTTATTGACATCCATGTACATATGTATATCAAGCGCAATAAAATCTTCTACATGAGGATCGGTGTCCCTCCCAAGTGAGCGAATTGATAAAGCCTTCGTAAGCGCCATCTGTCGCATCTATCAATAACAGCCCAGGCGGTGAACACAAATGGTACTCGGCGCTACGCGCAATGTCATCAATCACCTAACGTTTTGCTACACAACGATAGTAATGCACATGATTTTTGTCATTCCTTTACATGCAGCAGTAAATAACCGAAATATAATGAATGCTTAATAGAGGCTGATACAGCTTTTAACAGGAAACTGTTTTAGGGCGAGGTCCACCAATAATTCCGTTGCGTATTTCTGTCATAAAATATCATACCGGTACAACGGAGACAAAGGAATGAGCAGGAAAAAAGTAACAATAAGTGTTCCTCTGGCGAGAATTGAACCTCTGGCCTCACGATCAGCGACGTGAGCCGCGGGGTCTTCTTTTCCGACTGAGCTACCGAGGCAAACGCACCGAACTCCTGGCACACATGACTCTTTTTCGCATGCTGTTCCCTGTTAGCGGAGCTAAAAGGGCTGGACAGTGCCATCATCTGAGAGCAGTGGACTTATGTAATGCGTCATCACACTTGCTAGAGCCAATAGAGGATGTGGTTCGTTGATGGCGCCGTTAAAACATGTTTTCCAAGGTCGCCCATCTCGGAGGACATGTTGAAAGCATCCTGAAAAAAGCAAGGAACGCTGGCTTTGCTCGAAGTCACCCTAGGCAAAGTTACGATCCTTGCTTTTCGCTTCTTGTTTGCGCGAGACGGCTAATTGTCGAAGCAGTGCCCATTCTTTATGTACCAACGGTGTTTCTCTATGGCCGACTGGTTCGCCGCGGACGGCCGCCGACAGAAAAAAAAACTGTGGACGGGCGAACGTTGTGCTTTGATGAAGTGAGCCTAATTCCAGCCGAAGTTGGAACACCGTTGCGCGTTCGTAGCTCAATTTACGAGCACGCATTTGCCTCCCGTGTTGCTGAAGCGAGTGTAATGTATGAAACTGGCAGCCTAAATTCCATAAAGGCACATGGATACATCCAGTAGTCGGCGGCTCGTTGCCACCGTCGCCATCTACGTGAGGAGGGACAACTAACAGCAAAAAAAGCGAAAAATAAAATATGACGTTACAACCAGAAGCGTTAGCAACGTCACGCATTTGCCTTACTTGACGTGAAATCAAATTATTCTTAATTTCTGGCCTGTTACGAGCCTTTTTTATTACGTAACTTTATTGCACCTCAATTGTGTCTCGTTAATATTATGCTAGAAAGAAAGGAAACAGAAATAACAAAGATTGAAGAAGCAAAGTTGTTTTGTTAGTCAAATGACGTACTTGCATTATGCAGAAGAAACTTCACAGAGGGAATCGTGAGACAACTTTTCCCGAGCACAATAGCATAATAGTTCGAATACTCACGTTGCCCTATTATTGGAAACTACTGCGGCAAGACAGCAGTTTTGAAAATAGAGCTTTGGCAGCCGTAGAATACAGTGTCTTCTTGCTTAGCCTGTCGCGTTTACAGTCACCAATGGCGAGGGCACGCTGGCCGTGTGCCAGGGACAGCAGTTGGCAGTCCCAGGAGCGGCTATCTACGCAATCTGTGAGCTAGTTGAGCTATGAAATGTACATAAAAAGTAAGTAAACTTCTGTAGGTTCGCATGAAACCATCACGGAAAAGTGAGCGTTGCGTCTTTGGCCTGGTATTGCACTGAACTGGTAATATTGCCTGGACACGCCCCCAAATCCATTGACCCATGTTAACAGATCATTGAGTAAGACCCGACTGTCTGCATGTGCCCACTGTTTCTGAAAACAACCGAAAAAAAAGGGCACTCAAACACATACTAAAGCTTTATTAAAGTAGTGTACAATTATATTGTAACAAATAAATATAAATCTATTGAAAATAAACGTTTATATATTTTTTTTTGTTTTCGCTACTAGTCCTCTTCTCACCTATTCGCGCTTCAATCGTCAGATAGTTCTTGATGTCTGTCGCAATGGGCTTGAGACCACTTTTCGTTCCAACTTTTGCGACCTATTTAGATTGACCTTGGTGTATGTGCGAGCGCAGCATATTTTACTATACTACTAAGGAGCGTAGACCGTGCAGTTCTTCTCCTTATTTGACGACGCCTTCAAAAAGGGCTGATTGAGTTCTATAATATACCATGTGCTTGTTGATGCCATCGCTGCGACTATACGCTGTGTCTAAGTATATGCTCACAGCTTCAGTTTCCTTGACGAATAAACAACAAATACTGGCGTTAGTTGGCGCGATCGAAGTGTTCCACAAGGCGTCTACGTGGGTGCACACGAGTGAAATAGTGCTACAGCTGTCAAACAAGTTAAGTCTTATGTTTAGCCAAACAAGTTTAGTCACGTATCACACCACATTAAACAGTTCTGTGGAGACACAAGTTCCATAGGTATAAGTAACAGTCCGGGCTAAGCTATGTCAGTAGCAGCCATCGACAGTGAATGGCTAAGCTCTACTTCAGTAGGCGGAGCAACGGTCCCGGCTAGGCCGTCAGCTGCTCATGTCTTCTCTTCCGGCATGCTGGCCAAATGCAAATGTAAAAAAAAATTACAGCATATCCATGGAGTGAATGATGAGTGGAGCGAAGCGTCCATCAGTCCGTCCGTGATTCAGTCGGTCGGTTCGTTCTTGCTTCCGTCCGTCTGTGCGTCCGTTCATGCGTCCATCCTTGCGTCAATTCGTTCATCCGTCCGTCTGGGCGTCCGTCTAGGCGTTCGTCCAGGTGTCCATCCGGGCGTCCGCTCTTTCATCCGTACGTTTGTGCGTCCATCCATCCGTCCGTCCGTCTTTCTGTCTGTATGTACATCTGTCTCTGTCTGTCTGTCTGTCTGTCTGTCTGTCTGGCGGTCTGTCTGTCTGGCGGTCTTTCTGTCTGTCTGTGTGTGTGTCTGACCTTCTGTCTGTCTATCCGTCTGTCTTTCTGGTGAAGAAAAACTCCAAGTACCACCATCTCGCATCTTTTCATCATATATTCATCTTATACAAGTACCGTCATCCAGAGGGCATTCCAAAAACTAAACGAGAGGTGGCTACCTACTACTACTACTACTACTACTACTACTACTACTACTTTTACTACTACTACTACTACTACTACTACTACTACTACTACTACTACTACTACTACTACTACTACTACTACTACTACTACTACTACTACTACTACTACTACTACTACTACTACTACTACATACATCAGGGACGCACGAATAAGCTTAAGGAGCTTCGCCGCTAAAATAAACGCAGTTGTGGTGCAAGTGTAAACCAGCTAGAAGGAAGGCTCGAGTGCTGAAACGACGGCGTGCTGTCATTCTGTTGGCAGAGCTGATAGTTTAAGCGAATCCGACTACGGAATACATTTCGAGCGTTATCGGTATAGTGTGGTGTTGCAGTTAGGCGAAAATGTTTTGTTCTTAGCGTTTCTTGCTTTTTTTTAAAACCAAGATTGGTATGTACAGCTCACGTCATTACAGCTGATGAAATGTAATCGCTTTGTGCTCAATGAAAGTATTCACGGGACAATACTGCAGATGAAACAACTTTGCTTCTGGCCAAAAGTAAGACCCATGAGTGAAATAGAAAAAGCAAATGGGCAAAACTTCACCAATTAGACGACAATCTGTCACGGAGACAGTGCTGATGTGCAGAGAGCCCATCACGGTGGCATGGTCGCGTTCTGCGTGTCTGTTTCACGCCACCTTGCGGAGCTGGTTTATAAATGCAGCGCTCTGAGAACGCTGTCTAGATGAAGATTTTCATAGCATTTACCTTAAAAGCGTCATGAAACTTCGCTTCACGCACTTGAGAGCGCATTAAATGATCTTTTGTTTTGTGGCCGAACTACCAAACTTGTATTTCGTACGTGCTACTAAGTGATCCGTTCCGGATCGTGATTGTCTGGCAAATATTACAGATTTTTCTGTATTGTGCTTTATTGATAATATCCCAGTTTCTGCATTTTCACGAGATGACTGCATGTTACCCGATTTATGTGATGTGAACAGGCGTGACTCCTCATGTCATCGTACCATCATTGTCAATGCCAATGCTTGTCTGATCTGAGATTCGCCATGTATATTGAAATGTATCAAAGATAATCGAACCAAACATTTTGTAGTGACATCTGTTCTAATGAAGATAGAAGTGGGTCGCAGTTCGTACCATGAACTGGGTGAGAGAATAACACAAGCGCCTCCTCCAGTTTATGTTACGCACTGCACCCCACTTCTATCTTCCGTAATGAACCACTTCAACTAGCCCAAATCACTTTTTTGCGACGTTTATTACGTCTTTGAGGCACATCTATTTTAGAGGAAGAAAGGAACGTGTAATTAAGCTATGACAACCTTGCTTTGCGGACATTAGAGTGTATGCATCGCATCCACGCCCCATACACAGTGGCACTCAAGTCGAAGGTTCTGCGCTTGTCGGCCCCCTTGCTTCTTAGATCTTTTCTGCTACATTTATTGGTTTCGCCGAAATAAAACACAACCACAGATGGTTACGAATGGGTTTCTGTGTGAATTTTTTATGAAAGTGTTGACATTTCTATTTTCTGTGGGTAGCTTTCACAGGTCATGAATCTCGCCCTACTGCCAAATTTTTGAAACTGTTTAATGATACTGCCCTGTGCAAGAACAATCACGTAGCTTTAGTTTTTTTTTGTTTTAGGGGAATCGTGGAGTAAAAAGGAACAACCAGAATTAGGCAGTGACTTGCTCAGTTAGAATTTGGCGGAAACCAGCACGACTCTTGAATGAATCGCTCCCACAGGTAAGTCCATTACCTCCACTACAGCTAGAACATAAACACATATCAGTTTTACCCTGCTCCATAATGACGCTGCCATTTCAGGAAATGAAGACGCCGAAGGTTCGACTGAGCACAAATGCAGCTACAGAAGATCTTGACCTCCTAAAGTCTCAAACAGAGATGAATGTGTAGGCGAAATTCGCTCATATCTAAAGACACAGGAATAAGATGCGTAAAACTGTTAGTGTTGATTCGTTGATACAACGAGTGTGACCAGAATATTTTGGCGACATGAAATACAAGACTGCGAAAACCAGAAACCAGGTGCAAAGAGCGCAGTAAACCGAAGTGCGCACATCTTTCTGCTCATCTACTGGTTCGGATATCACAGCTTCTACAATCCAGGTTTACCATTCAGCGCAAAGCGCAGAAGAGCGAACCTTCTTATCGCAAAGAAAAACAGGTCAAAAAGCAAGAAGAAAAACTTGAATTCGTTTTTCTTAGCGACAAAAGCGTTTGGGCATCGAAAGCTAAAACATATTTCTGGCGCTCTTCATCAACTCATACTCTGCACTAACGGTGTAAATATTTAATTGTGACACAATTCTGACACTAACACTTAAAAAAACGACAATAAAATGTCTTGATGACTTCTTTTTAAATGGGCTGTAGGGATGAGAATGTTTTGAGTTATACATTTTGCTTGACCCTGTAACAACCACACACCGTTCTGCATGAATAAAGGATGAAATAATTTGTGCAAACTTTGTGAACTTGCTAAGGTTAACAATGAAGTAAAGTTGCTAAAGGTCCCATATGAGAGCTTCTAGTTTGTACATGATCCTGAAAACATCAGTGCCAAGTTTATGAAATGTGGACAAACGAACAACGAACCAGTGCCTGTATTGTTTGCTTGTTCACGTTTCTTTAAATTTGCGTGGCTCTTCTCCCGACAGTGTGCTCCTGAAAATAACTACAGTGAAATGCTTGTGGAGGTAAACATAAACTCAAGTCAGTCAGTAATTATACTGCGAAACTGACTGCATCCTAGACGCCGTTACAGCTGTGAATCTTGGGCTTGCTGCATCCCGTCCACATTCCTTGCGAGGACGACACGGTCAAGTAAGAACAACGGACTTTAATTTGGGTGGCTTCTGCACACAGCACGAGGTGGCGTGGCACTGACGCACGCCTGTTCTCTTCGGTGTCTAGCGAAATATCTCCCTTCCTTGTCCAGCAACCTAGAGGGGGCACATTTTAAGAAGAGCCAGGTGCATCCCCCCCTTCAAGAAGGGCGGGAGAAGCCATCATACGTCGTTGATTTTCACGTCCAAGACTACCTCTTTCTTTGCGGCTTGGTGAACACGAGAAGGTCGGGCTGGAGATACAGTAACGCGAGGTCCGCCTCCATTACCGCTTGAGCGTATCTTTGCGGGTGGTGCCATGCCCCGTCAGCCGCCGTGTGTTGAGCAAGCAGGGTGCTCGCGAAGTATGTGCTGAGGTGTATTACTAGTTCAACTCACAGGGCACAGAAGAGGCAGTGCTCTGCCTGTGGGAATCTGTGCGGTTTTGATGCTGCAAGGTCATTCCCGGATACGGTTCCAGAACCTCCTGGCCTGACGGAGAGCATTGGACCTTAGGCTGGTGTTCTGTGGGCAGCCGCTGGGCCTAACATTACCTGTTGTTCGAGGTATAGCGCATTCAGGACGGGACAGAGAAGAAAACACAGAACACATACACGGCGCTAACTTTCAACAATGCGGTTTAATCCGAGAAACAGCAATACTCATACCCAAACATGGCGCGTCACAAACACGTGCTAGAACCAGAAGACTGATCTACTGCAACTCATGCGACATCCAAATAATGCAATTCTTTCAATGATAGTGATATCGATGGCTTGCTTATACACGCGTCTCCAGACATAGCAATGAATTTTGCTTCTATGATGAGCCTTGTCATTTGGTTAGTGCTTCTTCCGATTATGCTGGTGCGATTAAAGAGGGAAGCACTAACCAAATGACAAGGCTCATCATAGAAGCAAAATTCATTGCTAAGTTTGGGGACGTGTGTATAAGCAAGCCATCAATATCATTATCATTGAAAGAATTGCATTATTTGGATGTCGCATGAGTTGCAGTAGATCAGTTTTCTGGTTCTAGCACGTGGTTGTGACGCGCCATGTTTGGGTATAAGTATTGCTGTTTCTCGGATTAAACCGCACTGTTGAAAGTTAGCGCCGTGTATGTGTTCTGTGTTTTAGGGGCGAAGCTCCTTAGGGCGTGGGCTGTGCGTCCCCTGTAGCCTGTATGTAGCCACCTCTAGTTTAGTTCTTGCAGTGTTCACTAAATGGAGGTACCGTCCCCTGTATGTAGCCACCTCTAGTTTAGTTCTTGCAGTGTTCACTAGATGGCGGTACCGTCTCCTGTATGTAGCCACCTCTCGTTTAGTTCTTGTAGTGTTTACTAGATGGTGGTACTTGTAGCTGATGATGAAAAGATGCAAGATGTTATAAACTAGAAAGCGGTACTTGTAGTTGATGAAAGACGCGAGATCTTATAAAATAGGAATGATGTCACATATGGCGCGTGTCATTGGTTGAAGGCAATCGTTCGATTTAGTGCGGCGACGTACGCTATGGGGAGCGTTGTAATAAAATCCGTTCGCGGTTGGCGCGCGCTCGGAGTCACCGGATGGATAAGGCTGCACAGCGGAGAGAGCGCAAGGCGGCAGCAGCGCGCGCTCGCTGACAGAATCCCGATGTGCGAGCGCGCGACGCAAGGGACATCGCAAGCCATCCATTGTCTAAGAACAAATAAAAGTTGATTTGTGTATATACACACACAGCGTTTCTCACGTCTTTACATGATGATCGACTGGGCGAATTACACGGACGATTCACAGTTTACCGATCAATCCCTCCGGAGCTTCGCCCATTCATCATCATTCACCCCGTGAATATGCCGTAATTTTCTTCTCTGTCCCGTCCTAGATGCGCTATACCTCTAACAACAAGAATAACCAACAAAACCGCCGTGCAACCATAGTCGCCTAAAATTACTCACGCAAATGTGCCACTTTCGCTGCAAGTCAAAGTGAAAAAATTTCTTTAACGAAAAAAGGAAATGAGCATTTCATTTTTAATGGCAACTAGTCGCCAACACCTTCTCGGTCAGTTTCATAACACAGCCTTTCTGACTCCGAGTATGCGTGACCAGCATAGATTTAGGATTTCAGTTCACTCTTTTCGCGATGTTGGCTTGCGAGTGATACACATCCGTGCCCTTGTGACGAATTCCGAGTATCTCACAGGAATCAGTGAGTACCTTGTTGGTCATGTACATCACGTTTTTCGTGATCAGCTGGCCAGGAAATCCGAACTTTGTCAAGGTTTCGAAAAGGCACTTCAACACTTTCTGCGAAGTGAGCTTGTGCAATGTAAACAATTAAACTCGTTTCGTGAAATGGTCTGCCACCACAAGGAGATACTGGTTTTGCCGCGGGCTCAAGAGAAGCGGACCAAATACGCCAAGTCCTGCTATTTGCCCTTGCGACATACTCAACTGACTGCCCTTTTTTTAGCGGCAAACCACCACGTGTTTTCACCTTTAGACAAACAGAATATGAACGCCCTTATTGTAATAGATCCTGTTTCATACCTGGCCAAGTTACTGTATGATACAGATTCTCGTCAGATTTTTTCCCTGAAGAGTGATTAGTTAAAGCACTGTATTTGCACGATGGTAATGAATGATTTGCAAAGTTTACCAGGGATGAAGCTTTGAAAAGGTGATGCCTCTGTGCCATAGTTAACTTATGTAATTTACCAGAACAGGAGGCAACTTTCTCTGAGGAGGTAGCAGTCCGTCTCTCCCATCGTCGCTTGCTGTGTCAGCTGGATCATGAGCCGAAAGCTTTTCTGACACTTTACAACAGAGGCCGTCACCGTACTGCACGGCAAGAAGCTCCTGTTTAGAGTTGAATGTACCCCAACGTGACGGCATGCTTTGATGTGGTGTCCTGACCACAAACACTGTTTCTGGCTCAAACTGGGGCTCAAAAGACAATGTCACACTTGAAACTGCGTCAGAAAGTGTTACTAATACCTTTTTTGTACTCAATGAAGTTGTCGTAGCGATTCAAGATAAACGCCAACTGGAATAATCGTACAGATGGATTCGGTAATGATTTCAGCAAAGAGAGTGCTTGTTAGTTGATCAGTCTGAATGATCTATTATTGCCATCAACAACATGTCGAACGTCTTCAGTGTGAAAATGATGGTGAAGCATTCCTTCTCTGTTAGCGAGTAGTTGCGTTGCACACTGACTAAAGTGTGGCTTGCGAAAGCGACAGATCTCAGAGCGACTGCGCATTGTAGCAAAAAGTACTGCACCATGGTGATAATCACTGGCATTGGTCTGTAACACAGGAGGTTTGTTAAAGAAGCAGTGACATAAAACTTCATAATTGAGATGCACCCTTCATTCGATTGCTTGTTATGCGTAGGTCCCCTTGGCCGAACTTTATTCGCCTTCGTCGCGTCGAAGTTATTTTTTTTTTCAAAGGCAAATAGCGTACCTGAGCTCAATGAAAAATGGAGTGCCATGTGACATCGACACTACTGCAACGTGTTTGTGTGATACATCTCACACACAACATTCTGAGTGACGATGCACTAGTAGCGATGCCATTATTATCCATGTTTTGTTATCATGGCGCAGACTGGTGGCGATGCTTGGACACGCGCACTCATTCTTCATGCCTTTTCATCAAACCACTTTGAATGATTTCGTGAAATTGCAAGCCACAAATCACCTATGAAGGAACAGCGAAAGAGCATGATTCAACATTGTGCTCGCCAGTCAGCAATTTGGGGAACTGTTGTGAGTTGCAGTTGACTGTTTGGAAGGGTGAAAAAAAATCAGGAAGTATTTGTATCACGCGTATTTTACACGCCAACGAGACCACAAGGTATCGAAGTGGAGTAGCGTACAGAAAATATCATTGCTAATAATTAACACGTAGGTATCGTTAAAAGTGAAGTTTAGTTCGTTCGTAGATTTTGCATCCGGTAATACAGGATTACTTCTGCGCAACTGTGATGGGCTAATAGGCGGAGCCATCATGAGGCGTAAAGAACAACCTGGCAGCAGAGATCGTATTCCATTTCTCCGCTGGTACGCATTCTCTACACTGATATTCCGTTGACCACTTAGCGTATACCTCAATGATGTGCTCGCCAGAACCCCCAATATAGCAAATAGAGACACACGAAGGAGCATGGCAGAAGCATGCATCCTCGGGACTCTCCTCATTGCTGCTTGGAACTTGCAATGGCGTCCACTTTGGAATCGCTCCCATCAAAACAAAAAGCTTTGCCACGTCACGAATCGTGGCAAATCGAAGCTCCAGACTGCCGTGTTCACCCCAGTCTTCACTTCGTACGGTGACGATGGTAGCAGGTGATAAGGCATGACTGAATTTGTGCTTTAGCAGACAAAATGTTTTCGGAGCAGCTGAGTCTGACGTCACTCTTTTATGTGGAGAAGTGATGAGCTTTGGCGCGATCTGAAAAGAAGCACTCCCAACGCTTGAAATGGCAGCCTTGCCATTTTGAATTGTGTTGGATAGCAGTAATGTAAATCAACAAAAATGAAAGTTATTCGTCCCTTAGTTTCGTTTTTGGTCGTGGATAGCTATTAAGGAGTCAATAGCAACTGATTGACCCGAAAATACTGACATGAGTAAAGTTGGTGCCATTGC